TTCCACCGATTTACCCATCTGCTCGGATTGGCAGAGTATTCCCTTCCACCGATTTACCCATCTGCTCGGATTGGCAGAGTATTCCCTTCCACCGATTTACCCACCTGAACTAGATATAAAGGAGACCACGGAGCCAACCTCATCTGTTTCATATTTGGATGTGTGCATTGCAGGTACAATCAAGAATGCTCTTTCAAAGAAGATTTCTGAGCGCGTCATATAAGAACGTTTCATCAAAGTTACAACATTCAAGGCCACAGTAAAGCTTTAAAAACGTTTTATGGTAGACGTGTGGAGGACATTTCTAAATTTTACACATCAGTGATAAAATGATGTCCGATGCAATTCCCTATATTGACTTGTACCATATGTTCCCGTGGTTTTTCAGGTTAGCAATTGACTTGCCTTTACATGTGTTTGTGACGGGTGCCACCGGTGCATACCTTCATCTTTTCGCGAACACCTGGTAACATAATTATTTGATAGTGATTCATAAGTACATGTTCACGACATAGTCGGAATCGTACATCAGCTCTTCTTTTGATGTCTTACGAATATGGAAATGTTTTTGTCGCACTAATTTAAGTCTATGTAGAATTGTTAGATTGTTGAGGATGGGTTGTAATCGTTATAGCATCAATGTTAGCTCATGTTTAAAAGTTAAGATGATAATGCAAACTAACTTGGGTAACTGAGGTTCGATTTACTACTTACAGCTGGATTGTCCAATGTACATTTCCAAACTGTAACCTGGGTGAAATTAAGAGTGAGTGAGTGATTGAGTTGAGTTTAACGCCGCTTTTAACTGTATTCCAGGTATATCGCGGCGTGGCACCTTAATCTGTGAGGAAAGCCCAAAGTGATGCAGGTCTCAGACGTTTACCGGGCGGTCGGGTAGCCTAGTGGTTAAAGCGTTCGCTCGTCACGCCAAAGACCCGGGTTCGATTCCCGACATGGGTACAATTTGTGGAGCCCATTTCTGGTGTCCCCCGCCGTGATATTGCTGGAATATTGCTAAAAGCGGCGTAAAACCATACTCACTCACTCAGACGTTTACCCCTTCGGTGAAACCCACGAACACGGGTATGGTGCTGACAAACCTAGAAATATATTCGGGGCGCCGTAGACGACTTGGCCATCCGTGCCCCCTGATATTAAGAAATTTATCATTCATTAGTTCGCTGTAAAATAATATAACGTTACGAAAAAGGTACTTACTAAATATTGTTCATCATTCTAAATGTAAAAAACACACCCATATGTTTCATATACTAGTATATTAAGTTCATTACTTACATAACACAAGGGCGGTTGCGGTAGCCTGGTGGTGGAAGCGTTCGTTCGTGACCCCGAAGGTCCGAGTATACCCCACATTTGTGCAATGTGTGAAGCCCATTTCTGGAGTATCCCGATCTGATATTGCTATATTTACAGTCAACATGGTCAATGCATTATCTACTTAAAAATATATTTAACATTCATTTGAGTGACACTGTACTTTATGTCTGCTGCATTCACTATTACAAAGGAAGAGTTGTGTTCCCCTTTGAAGACATTAAATGTAAGCTTCAATAACTCATTATTATTAAAACCTTTACCAACGGAAGCTGAAAATCAGTGTTGTTCAAGTATTCGTACTTTCGGTCATGAGGCCTTTGTTCTGAATACAGATAATTGTCTGTCTACCTGGTCCATTTAACCATGAAAAATATATAATGTTTCTCAATTGAAGCTTTTTTTCATAACCACCATCTGGCCTCAAGGCTTTACTGATTTTACTCATTTTGTCTCAGAAGGCAAACAACGCGTGTCAGCAACCATGTCAGAGTAGTTTAAACAAAGAAAGATACAATCCGAGATTGTCAGGTCGATTGAAGTAACATCAAACCTGCTCGGGGTTTTATAAAATATTGACAACCCTCAATCATTACATAATGTTTTCTCGTGCTCTGAAGTGAAGCTCTAATATTATGGCAAATAGGAATTAAATCAGATAAAAGCTACCGGTCAGGTCGCTTTGACATTGTCTCTCGATTAAAATCATTTGGACTTTTTTTAATTGTGTTATCTTTGAAATATTATCATTAGGTAATATTTTGGTCTAAAACGATTTCCATTGGAATTCGAATTAAAAGAGAGAAGAAGGTGTAACTGTAATAGCATCAGAGGTGAGGTGAGGTAAAATTGGGTTTAACGTCGCGTCCACGATTATTGCACTTATATAGCGACGTGCATGCGCTTGTGTGTGTGTGGCTGCTTGTACTTGTCCGGACTGATGCCGATTTATAGTGCTAGCCCACTGAGATACCATGCCGCAGTTTAACATGAATACCCCACTCAGACACAGTATACTGACTCCGAGCCGACCAGTCCTTGTTTTAGCCACTTAATGCCGAGCGCCAGACAGGGTAACACTAAGTACCATCTTTTAACGTCTTTTGGTATGACGCGGGCCGGGGATCGAACCCCGGACCTTCCGCTCTCCGGGCGGACGCTCTACCACTTGACCACGGAGGCGGTCCACAAATGGTAGAACAGGAACTCGAACGATGTCGCCCCGGGAGCGTACACCATTCAAGTTGCTGTTAACAATGATTAGTTGTTGTGCCATCCCATTTTATTGTTTCATGGCAGTACTGCCGTGCGGCTTCAGGCAACAACAATTTACTTAATAAAACTCCATGAAATATGTATCATTTTAACCCAACGGCGTGGCAAGTTCATATAGCTGGAATACTCCTGAAAGTAGCGTAACACAACAAACCAACGCTATGTGCAGTTGTGTCTGTACAATAATACAATAGTAGCGCTAGGAGGTGTTGTCGAGGAGTGAGTGAGTTGGGTTTAACGCCGCTTTTAATAGTATTCCAGTTATATCGCGGCGTGTCAGCTTAATGTAATCACAGCCCGATGTGATGCAGGTCTCAGACATTTACCACTTCGGTGAAACCCACGAGCACAGGTATGGTGCTGACAAACCTAGAAACATAATCGGGTCGAACCGGGATTCGAACCCACAATCATAGGTTTCTGGCGTATCCAAGAGACGCAACTCTGCACAGCGAATCGCGGCGCCTTAAACGACTGGGCCACCCGTGCTCCCCTGTTGTTGAGGAGGAATATATGGCAATATGCGTGAGTGATCGGTGCTACCGGTAGGGCAGGACATGTTTACCCTATTTGCAAACACCTGGTGTCATCATTGATTTTCAGTGATCCATTCATATAATGTTCACCGGTAATTGCTCTTCGCCCAATGGAATGTATTTCGTCGGATAATCGAGACTGGTTATTAAATGACGTTGACGTTTTATATTTACTTGTATTGACACCTATTGTATTTTGAAAAAAGTGATCACGAATACAGTGTATTCTCATCACAAACCATGTTTAGTGGAAGAGATCACCTGACACCTGACACCTGACACCTGACACTTCCACGTATTTCGTATATACCGAAGATTGAAAACCTTGCATCACGAACGCAAGTGTAGTCCATCTATATTCAAATGTCCATCTTGTAAGAAAGTCGTTTAAGAGTTCTTAGATTTCTTCTCAGTATCATATGTGTTATGACCTTGGCGGTTTAATATCCTGTACACTTGAATCGGGTTTGGAAGTGCTGATCTGTTCCGGGGTTATCTTGCGAGTCAATAACTTGTCACGTCGTAGTCACGGTTGGCCCAGCCGTCAAAACCCGGATTTCGCCGTGCAGAGTTATGTCCCTTAGGCATGCCAGAAACCTGTGTCACGGGTATATAGGTTGGCCCAGCCGTCAAAACCCGGATATTCGCCGTGCAGAGTTATGTCCCTTAGGCATGCCAGAAACCTGTGTCACGGGTACATAGGTTGGCCCAGCCGTCAAAAGCGCCGGAATTCGCCGTGCAGAGTTATGTCCCTTAGGCATGCCAGAAACCTGTGTCACGGGTACATAGGTTGGCCCAGTCGTCAAAAGCGCCGGAATTCGTCGTGCAGAGTTATGTCCCTTAGGCATGCCAGAAACCTGTGTCACGGGTACATAGGTTGGCCCAGCCGTCAAAAGCGCCGGAATTCGTCGTGCAGAGTTATGTCCCTTAGGCATGCCAGAAACCTGTGTCACGGGTACATAGGTTGGCCCAGCCGTCAAAAGCGCCGGAATTCGCCGTGCAGAGTTATGTCCCTTAGGCATGCCAGAAACCTGTGTCACGGGTACATAGGTTGGCCCAGTCGTCAAAAGCGCCGGAATTCGCCGTGCAGAGTTATGTCCCTTAGGCATGCCAGAAACCTGTGTCACGGGTACATAGGTTGGCCCAGTCGTCAAAAGCGCCGGAATTCGCCGTGCAGAGTTATGTCCCTTAGGCATGCCAGAAACCTGTGTCACGGGTACATAGGTTGGCCCAGCAGTCAAAAGCGCCGGAATTCGCCGTGCAGAGTTATGTCCCTTAGACATGCCAGAAACCTGTGTCACGGGTACATAGGTTGGCCCAGCCGTCAAAACCCGGATATTCGCCGTGCAGAGTTATGTCCCTTAGACATACCAGAAACCTGTGTCACGGGTACTAATCTCAAATTCACCTTGCTTATGTTTCTTGTATCGACACCAACATATTAGACCTGCATCACTTCAGGACCTTCCTCCCCCATCCAAACTCACTCACTTGTCATGGACAATTTTCGAAAATTCAAAATGAACTAGGGAGTGAGTGACTTGAGTTCAACGCCACGATTATATAACAAAGTGAATGTTTAATGTGGCAAGAAAACCAGGACCGATGCAGCCCTTAGACGTTCACCGGTTTGGTGAAACGCACAATTAGGGTTATAATGCTGATAACCCAGGAAACCCAATTAGAAATTATCTTCGAACTTAATATCACAGGATCCTGGAACGCCTATGGGAAGCAACTCTACTAAGCGCATAACAGCCACTTGAGCCCCCTTTCTGTATAAAATCACTTCAAAATTCATGATAAGTGATTAGCGATGAAGTCGAAAGAAAAGTCAACGAAACAATGGGCAAGAGCGCAATATTTATTCAAGATACCTACCTGATCAAAAGATCAAAAACGGATACAACAGATCATATAGATGCTGGATCAAATAGTCACATAGAAAGACAAATTGAAACTTAGAGACTCAAAACTGAACTGGTACAAATAATATTTATTACTAAAACACTTGCCAAAACAACCTCATCCCCACTTTTTCAGAATGCCCCATAACTTTACATTCCGGAAACATTCATGAACCATTTTAAGTTTATAAGCACTTCTGATTAATGACATACATCAATACCAGTTTTTGCAAAACATATATAACCAATGCAGTTCAACTATGAAAAACCTACTTCCTAATCATATCATTCAATATACACGTTTGTGTACATAAATATAGCAAATCACTGTGAGGATTAGGGGTCAGAATACAAACAAACAAATATATATATATACACACAATGTAGGGCTAAACTTTCATCTAAAACTGTACGAAAGCCTTTTTGTTCTGAGAACATAAAATGCGACCGTCACTGAAACCTAATCAGAGATAGAGAGAGAGACTTATCAGACGTGGCTGAGACTGAAATATCTCACACATAAAAGGCGATCTTGAAAAGGTGGGTCTTCAGTTAGGACTTAAAAGTACATTATTGTTGATGTGATCTGATGTGAAAAGGTAGCTTGTTCCTTGTTCCGAAAGAGCGATTGCTATGCGGTTTTTTATGCGTGTAGACTGAACTTGCAGCAAGTGCTGATCACTGAACCTCAACTATTAAGATGGTTGGTTCTGATTAAGCAGACAGGTAAGTTTGTCAATTTACACATTTGAAGACAAGGACCGACTCCTTGTTCCGTATCAGGTTTTGCACAGGCTGCTAGCGCAGTTCTTATGTGATGAATTGAATTAAAACGTTTTCGTTTTCCTGAAGGTCTTATGATTGACGAAAAAAAACGACGAAAATGGGGATCGGGTTGTCAGGCTCTTTGACTTATGTATCTTCTTAACCCGGGGACGGTCGGGTAGCCTAGTGGTTAAAGCGTTCGCTCGTCACGCCGAAGACCCGAGTTCGATTCCCGACATGGGTACAATGTGTGAAGCCCATTTCTGGTGTCCCCCGCCGTGATATTGCTGGAATACTGCTAAAAGCGGCGTAAAACCAAAACTCTTAACCCAACGCTGGGCACGTTCATATAGCTGGAATACTCTTGAATGTAACGAAGCGGCCATAAAATGTCCGAGTCCCGTGATGCATAACAAACCAACGCAATGTACAGTTTTGTCTGTACAATAATACCCTAGTAGCGCTAGGAGGAGTTGTTGGGGAGGAAGAAAGAAGGTGCAAATGAAAATATGGCATCTATTGGTATCTTAGTGTAATAAATACAAGATGGCTGTCAAACGGCCACTGATTTTCCAATATAGATATTAAGTGCAAGAATATATTAGCAAAGTTGAAATATTTACAAAAGAAACTGAAGACAATGACTTACAACCGAAAAAGGACAACATTAACTGACATGGCTCCTCGGGGGACGGTCAGTCTGGTGGATATGCTGTATAGGTGTCTCTGGTCTGAAAGCAGGCGTGGTTGTGACGTCTTCGGGCTCGCCCATCCAATGACATTACGGCTCTCAAACTAGTCCGACCCCAGCTTCACAAGGATGGCCATGGCATCAGCTTTCTGATATTCTGAAGTATGGCAATAGTCAAATGTCATTTTCTCAGTACTAGAAAGGTCCAATAGGTGGTAGTGGGCCAACCTATTCCGTTTCTTTCTGTTTGTTTTGTTTGTTTGTTTGTTGTTTAACGTCGCACTCAGCAATATTCCAGCTATATGACGGCGGTCTGTAAATAATCGAGTCTGGACAAGACAATCCAGTGATTCATGATGAACATCAATCCACTCAATTGGTATACGATGACATGCATCATCAACCAAGTCTGCAAGCATGTGGGCCTGACCACCTGACTAGTCGGCTCGGAGTCAGTATACTGTGTCTGAGTGGGGTATTCATGTTAAACTGCCACATGGTATCTCAGTGAGCTAGCACTATAATCGGCATCAGTCCGGACAAATACAAACAAACACACACATACACGTCGCTATATACGTGCAATAATCTTGAAACGACGTTGAACCCCATTTCACCAAACATCACCTCTCATATATAGATAGTATTATCCGAGTGTATTTCCGTATCGTAAAATGGCCCAGTCGTCTAAGGCGCCGCCATTCGCTGTGCAGAGTTGCGTCCCTTGGACACGCCAGAAACCTATGATTGTGGGTTCGAAGTACGCGCCCTGATTATGTTTCTAGGTTTGTCAGCACCATACCCGTGATCGTGGGTTTCACTGAAGTGGTAAACGTCTGAGACCTGCATCACTTCGGGCTTTCCTCCCACATTAAGCTGACACGCCGTGATATAAATGTAATACTGTTAAAACCCAACTCACTCACACGTATAGTACATGTAAATATTATTTATTAGGAATACAAAAATCATTATGATTGCATAATGCATATTGTTTATTCCTAATGCACGATATTTACGATAAGGAAATACAAGGGTAATAATGTCATTCTTAAAATAATGACGCAATGAAGACGTAATTTCTCTCAATAACTGTTACTTTAGAAACAGCGTACGAATACAGTTTTGAGTGAACTGCCCAATCAAATAATCACTATTTCATCTAGCGCCAAGCGACAACATTTTGGAAAACCCCATCTTAGTTATTGGTAACATTAGTCAATAGTTTCCTTAGAAAGAAGGCATAGCATTGATATATGGAGCTTGAAAGTACTTTTTACAAGGCGACCTCGTTTGCATATTTATCGGATCATGATACCAAGCTTATCTGATTGAGTGAGTGAGTGAGTATGGTTTTACGCCGTTTTTAGCAATATTCCAGCAACATCACGGCGGGGAACACCAGAAATGGGCTTCACACATTGTACCCATGTCGGGAATCTAACCCGGGTCTTCGGCATGACGAGCGAACGCTTTAACCACGAGGCTACCCGACCGTCCCGCTTATCTGATTGGTTTATCGCATCTGGAACACAAGCCTTTATATGATAAATAGCTTTCGTGGTACAAAAGAGGCGAACCTTGAAATAATACTTCATATATAAATCCTATGTGAAATTGTTGTCACAGAGCTGGGCTAGTAAAATTGTGGACACGAAAACAGTTCTTTCACAGAGTAAACGTTTTACGTAACGCGTTCGTCCTCATTGCATGTAGCCGACGTCGTACTGTTGGTTGGTTTGTTTGTTTGTTTGTTGTTTAACGCCGCACTCAGCAATATTCCAGCTATATGACGGCGGTCTGTAAATAATCGAGTCTGGACCAGACAATCCAGTGATTAATATTATGAACATCGATCCACGCAATTGGAATCGATGACATGCATCACCCAAGTCAGCGAGCCTGACCACTCGATACCGTTAGTCGCCTTTTACGACAAGCATAGTCACCTTTTACGGCAAGCATGGGTTGCTGAAGACCTATTCTACCCCGGAATCTTCACGGGTACTGCCGCAGGCTATATTCGAGAGGTCATAGTTGTAGATTGAAACCGATTGTGCAGATGTGTGGCTCGAATCCCGCGTCCCTAATGGTCATATACCTGGACCGGACTGTTGCTGAGGGCGACGTTAAGCAACAAACAAATCAAGGTGCACACGGGTTAGACTCCGATCTGAGGCCTCGGAATTCGTATGGAGATATTTTTTTATCAGCTAGAAAACCCGGGCAGATATTTTTTAATAAGAAAATAAATATGAAAATATGATATATGTCATCACCTGATGCAATCAAACTTTTCCCAGAAATTGGTGAATACATGATCGTCGGTCCTTTGGGAAACATGTACGAGGAACACCTTGGCTCTCTATCCAGGACTACTAACCATCCGCTGTCTTCTGCACACTTCCCCAGGAAGTAGTTGATGTAGAAGCGACGAGTCTGCCAGCTACAATGGTGAGTTAAGAATCATATATATTGTGACTGAATGGTGGTTTACGCCGCGGTCAGCAATATTCCATCCGTACCACGGTGGTCAAAACAGATTCGAATCTGTTTAAACAGTGATTGATAGCATGAACAATGATTCACGCCGTCGGGGTACGATGAAACGTCACCACCCGAGCCTCATTTTAATCGGTACATTGGATCATCTGGATCTATTTGGACCCGGAATTCCACTGGTCAACTGTCTGATGATCTACCAGTATAGTGGTAACCTAACAATTAAAGTTAGGGCACCTCGTGTAGGGATAGGGCGTACGGGTGGCCCAGTCGTCTAAGGCGCCGCGATTCGCTCTGCAGAGTTGCGTCCCTTGGGCATGCCAGAAACCTATGATTGTGGGTTCGAATCCCGATTCGCCCAAATTATGTTTCTAGGTTTGTCAGCACCATACCCGTGCTCGTGGGTTTCAGCGAAGTGGTAAACGTCTGAGACCTGCATCACTTCGGGTTTTCCTCCCAAAAGCTGAAACGCCGTGATATAACTGGAATAATGTTAAAAGCGGCGTTAAACCCAACTCACTCACTCACTCACTCGTGTAGGGATATCAGGATTATACTATTGCTTGGTTATCCCTTGGCGTTGACGTCTTGTATTTACATAGAAGACACACTGAATTTACTAAATAATATCAGCAGGCACATTTGGCCAAAACATCAAAACACCAAAACAAACTGTGAATCTATGTACCATTACCAATGCTGACGGTTGGCTATTTCTGATTTAGACACAGCGAGCACAAAATCGTACAATCTAGTTTTCGGTACTTACCCAGTTATCCGGAAGATGGTCGAGGAAGAGAGGTCGGACCAGCTTGATGATATCACCCTTTTGGAGTTAAACCAGCTCTCCTTGTTCGAGTTTTTTCCATCAAATACAATCACTGCTTTCACCTGGGTCTCCGCTATCAGTAGAATTTTCACCTGAATGACATTGAACCAATGAAGTAAAATCTCTCATATTTGTAAACAAAACAGATTCACCAGATTTCCATTACATTTAATGGCATTAGCGTTGGCGTAAGTGTCAACAACCTTCTCGGTAACCAGCGGCCTAATTAAATTAAAAACTAGCTGTGTTTACGAGGTCCTGGTCTGATTTTGTATATGACCTCCATGAAAGTCATCTTGAAAATGATTATTTATGGTCTTACATTTTAGTATATGAGTACATGTATATGTAGATAGATTCAGCATATGATTTCTTATATTATTATTGAGCTTTCTTTACCCTTGGTACTTAAACCATGCCCTTCATTATACATTTTCTCAAAATACATTATAGCACAATGGAAGCGCTGGACTGGTGAAAATTCGTGTCTGCGCGCGTGCGTGCGTGCGTGTGTGTGTGCACGTGGCTGCTTGTACTAGTCCGGACATGAGAGGGTTTGATAGTATTAGCCCGCTGAGAAACCATGTCGCAGTTTAACACGGACAACCCACTTATACACATTATACCGACCAATCCTTGTTTAACCCATTAACGCCGAACACCAGGCAGGGTAACAGCAAGTACCATCTTTTAACGTCTTCTGGTAAGACGTGCCCGGGGATCGAACCACCGACCTTCCGAACTCCGGGAAGACGATCTATCCACCAGACCACGGAGGCGGTCCATCAATTCAGATGACGCTTTGCATCAATAATAATCAATGATAACTTCCAGAAAATAATCCCTTAATTAGCAATCGTACACACACGAGTAATGTCTATAAATATCTAGTTTAGTTACTTTACATGTAGTATCGCACAAGGCCAAATTGAGCAATTTTTCAATCTGTTTTAGACCCGTGAAGGTCCGGGGTAGAATAAGTCTTCAGCAACCCATGCTTGCCGTAAAAGGTGACTTTGCTTGTCGTAAAAGGCGACTAACGGGATCGGGTGGTTAGGCTCGCTGACTTGGTTGATGCATGTCATCGATCCCAATTGCGTGGATCGATGCTCATGATATCAATCAATGGATTGTCTGTTCCAGACTCGATTATGTACAGACCGCCGTCATATAGCTGGAATATTGCTGAGTGCGGCGTTAAACAACAAACAAACAAACAAAACAAACAAATCAATCTGTTTTATATCGCAGGGGACAAAAACTCGAGAGACGAATGAACAATAGTTTTCCCTGTCGTGAATACTTTTTAATATTATTTTCATTACCTGAATTATGTTAAGAGAGGTCCATTCGTTGAGGGCCTTGCTGCGGAAGTGAAGGTCACAAGGGAGAGAACTGTTGAGTGATCGACATCCGGGCATGACATCCTTTCTGTCCAGGGGGTGGTCATGGTAGACGGAACTGTTCATCCACACATCATAACTAAAGACATTGATGCCCGCTGATATCCGGAACACAAGTGCCCATCCGTCGATCAGGACCACGTCTTAAAGGGCAAGTAAACGCAACATAGCATTTTTGCAGATTTTAAGTATTTAGGGTATACTTAACCGAAAATGCTTGACCAAAATTAAATTTGAAAAAGGGAAAATAGCGTAAAACAGACGATAAAAAACGCCAGACGAAAAAAAAGACGACAGAACTAATCGTCACCCAAACGGAAAAAATCCGCCACTGAGGCATTTAGACGGGTTCTCGGTGTTTTACGCGCTGCGTAATATCAACGATCCGGCCGGCGCCCAGTCTGCCTGGTGGTTGAAAGGGGGCTCTTCCTACGTCATTCGTCACCACTCGCCCCTTTCCGTATTCGGCTTGTCCCGGAATAACACGAGTTGGTCACGAATGTTCCTACGTGTCCAGCACCTATTTCAATCGGTACAAATTCACCCCAGCGTGGAGATTGGTAAGGCACTAGGGGATTAAGAGTGGCATCTCCCATATGACATGTTCATAACTATGTTCACATACACTGTACTGAGTGAAAACTTAACTGTACAGAATGAAAATATATATCAATAAGTGAGTGAACATATTGACAAAATATTATGATCTGGGGTATAAAAGGAATTACAGACAAGAAACAGTATTCAACTGCGAATAAGCTGATCTACAGTCTATTCCCAATTCTAAGAGGGGTAGGCAATTAGTTTTTGCTGGATACAAGCTCATGGCAAAGACCTGACGTCAAACTTCCATTCACTTGAAATGTTCACACAGAAAATGCCCGACCATCATTAACACCAAATGACTTTGTCACAAAGCACATTAACATGTCATTGAGCAGTAGGTCGGCGTCCACAAATCATCTAGAGGGGTGGCATCCAAGTCTATTCAAATTCATTGAGATACTGCAGGGTGATGGGGCCGTCACACCATGACGTTCTGGTCAGCGTTCTATGACGTTTGAGGAAACGTTGGTAGTCGCCCATGGTCGCTGGGATAGCGCCAGAAGAGCGTTGTGTGAACGCTAGTGAACGTCGGTGATCGCCGGGAATCGGCGGAGAACGCTGGTCCGGAAAAAAAGTTTTGAACATGCACAAAAGTTCTCACTGAGACCAGCGTTCTTCAACGTTTAATTTTAAACGCTGGAGAACGTTTAAGAACGTTCGTGGAACGTTTTACTAACGTTCGCCGAGCGTTGCACGCGTTCGGCTATCGTTAGTCAGTCGTTACTCTAGCGTTACTTGGTTGTTACTAATCATTTGCTTTGCATTGAACGACTCACTGGCGACCTGTCAAAGACCGCTGAACGGTCCCCTAGCGCACGCAGCGTGTGACTAAAGTCAAACACGCCAGCAAGACGCTATTCTGTCGTTATTCACACGTTAGTCACACGCTCAACACGCTCGTCTAACGTTGACAAATCGTTCGTCGCGCGCAAGTGGCACGTTAGCACACGCTAATGGTTTTCAGGGGTATCTTACTTGGTCGCTGTTACACGCTTCTCGTGCGTTAGACACATGCTAGTCATGCGTTAGGCACACGTTAATCACAAGCCAGATGTGTCATCCTCATTCTAGAACGCTCAAAAATTGAACGATTGAAATGTTCAGAGAACGTTGACCAGAACGTCATGGTGTGACGGCCCCTTGAGCAGGATAATACGGCGATCACAATCAAGTTTTGTTTGATGCCACTCAAGAAGAAAACACCTAGCCAATGCCCTTGAGAGGGAGTAGAAACAACTTCTTGCCAACCAGAAACCAGTGAACGATTATCACAATGCTGTTTAACTACTAGTTGGACTTTGTGAATTATGCAAGTTTGATATGAGAAGAAAAAACGTAATTTCTATTGTGTATCTTTGTGTCGGAAATCGTTGTGTATGATCTTGACGCCCGCAGCCCACCTGTGATATTGTATGATGTTTTGCCGCTACTTTTTGAAAGAAATCTTCAGTTGCAATTTAAAAAAGAATTTATTTACTCCAACACTGTGTGTGAAAATATATTTTTGATAATGATTAATTATCCCTATGGTACGCCTATGATATTGTATGATGCTATGCAACCACTTCTTGCAAGAACTCTTCAGCTGCAAATTAGAAGAAGAATGTTTTCGATCCAAAATCGTGTGTGACAATATTGTATGTCTCTTCGGTTATTGCTTGCTATAGTCCGCCTATGATATTTTACAGTCGCTTCACTCAATATGGCGTTAGCCCTTCGCCTGATCATGTTTACAGGTTTCATGTGTGTATGTATGGATTGGTAGACGGATGAAGTATTGTAGGTAAACATGTATATATGTATACACTTTTGTTTTTGTTACAAACGTAGTGACCATAGGTACAGGTACATATCTATCTTAAGAGGTCAAGGGTAATTACTAAAAAAATGAAAGCACCTCTCTCTCTCTCTCTCTCTCTCTCTCTCTCTCTCTCTCTCAATATAACTAATACTGGTATTTCCAGGTATAAACACTGGAGAGTGATCTCCCTTCCACAAATTACTCTTTTCAAAGTCATAAATACTTACTTTAAGGGTATATTAGGTTATACTGAGACTTTGAACATGAATTCAGTTATTTCGCGGCATGTCAGCTACATAAATATTGCTTCAAAATTACCCAAAAATTATTAAATGACATTTTAAAACCTGTACAGCAACATTTCAGCTTAAAAAAATCTCAAATAAATGCAGTTGTCGAATTCAAAACATGAATACCATATCCACATGTACCTAGAAGTCATACAACGTACACAAGTTCATAGCTGTCATCACAAAATAGTTGATTTGTGTTCAAAAAGTATTTTTCTATGTCTGGATTGCCGTTTTGGGGATCCCCATCTCGGACGAAAATGTCTTTCTTATGTAGAGGAGATTAGGGTAAATGATAAATAAGCCTCGCTTTAGTGATCGCAAGACAAACCACAATTGTGTTCTTTCTTATTACAAGGTGTATCACAATAACGTTATTTCTCATAATAAAAATACCCATTAATTGTGCCTGCCTTTTTAAAGCCATGGGCTCTGAGTTAATGCTTGACATTAACTCTTAACGAAATAATATATATTGCCAATATTTACCAGTTTCACATTGCTTTTGGATTAGGATCCAAATTCCAGATTGGGAACAGGATGTTGTTTTCGTCTTGGTTCCCCCAGGGAACGACATCAAGGCTTCACATGTGTACGTAGCCGTGCTGCCGTAGCGTGTTGCAGTGTAGTCAACCGTCGCACCTGTCATCGCTGGTGGAATTCCACAGTCAACTAAAGGAGGTATTTGTCAATAAATGAAAAGTGACAAAATCAACAACTGAATAAGATCACGAAATGAACATGTATTTATGTGTGTTGCACCCTCTAAATACCCCAACGCGGTGGCATATTTACACCGATTGTTAATCCGATCAGAAAAGGCGACAAAGCCAAGATTTCATTAATCATAAGAAATCTCTGCCAAAAGCAGAGTCCTTTGTACGATTCCGACTACACAATATGCATGTGGTTAGGCATCACTATCAATTAGTATGATACAAGATTTTCGAAAAAAAGCGTATCCTGTCTCACCGGTCGCGTATGCTGGCCGAGAGGGGACATCGCTTTCTCGCTTTATCGCTTTCTCGCTCTATCGCTTTATCGCTTTATCGCTTTCTCGCTCTATCGCTCTATCGCTTTATCGCTTTCTCGCTCTATCGCTTTCTCTCCCTATTGCTTCTTTTAATGACTAACCATAGTCATATGAAGGAATCGGGTGTTCTTTAACTTCTTTTGAATAGTATGTGCTGTAAATCTTGAAATTAACGTTAATTATAAATGCAAAAAAATTAGCGTAGACATAATTACCGTATTCGACGTAATAAGTGCCCAGGGCGCTCTCAAGAATAATATTTTTGCGGAAAAAAAAAGTTGAGTTGAAAGATAAATTTCGTGGTTTATGCTGACAGCCTGAAATGTTTATGTACGACAGACATATTTTTCCCGAATTTAATTGCCCATAATTAAGTGTGCATATAACGCACGAGTGCGTATTATACGCGAATAAATAAGTCTGGTGTACATTAATCAATCGCAAGGGGTGCTAATTGGGATTGTTCACTAGCCAATATTTTAGCAAATATCGCCGTGGGCGTTGATTAGAGCGGGGCGCTTATTACTTTCGAATAAGGTAATTATACTTTGCATTTATGTCTCAGAAATGACTGTTGATAAGACGGCCTCACTGAACACTTTGAATAGCGGAAATACCAACTTGAATATAAAACCAATCAACTATCTATTTCCACATTACGGTTACTGAGAACAATATGTCATCCAAAAATTAGAAATTACATAAAGGACATCCGGTAGTATTTACCATTGCTTGGGTGAGGACTTCCACTTTGATGACATCTACTCCGCAAACAGAATAAACGTTGATATAAGCGTTGTTTTTAGGAAAACACTATTGCTTTTTAGGAAGTACGTACTACTCAGCGCTATTGAGCGGTGTTATTTGCTATTTGTTTTGATAACTTGGCCTGGGGGCGGGGGATCAAATAGCTAAATAGGGTCACAAATCAATCAAATTCTTTTTTACGCAGAAATACGTGGATTGTTATAAAAGCACATATGTCTGTACTGTTAAATTATATTTCAGTAGATAGTGAGAAAATTTCAACATTCCGTCCATATGTATAATTTGAAATGCGACTGGAAAAATCTCAGCTCTCTTTTATGATTAAAACCAACAAGAGGGAATATTGCTATACCGCGAGAAAGCGATAGAGCGAGAAAGCGAGAAAGCGATAGAGCGAGAAAGCGATAAAGCGATAAAGCGATAGAGCGATAAAGCGAGAAAGCGATAGAGCGAGAAAGCGATAGAGCGATAGAGCGATAAAGCGATAGAGCGATAAAGCGAGAAAGCGATAGAGCGAGAAAGCGATGTCCCCTCTCGGCCACCATAGTCGCGCCCAATTTCTGCAAAAATAAAACGCTTGCTACAAGTCACCCCTGCATTGTCCCGGTAATCAGTTAATAGTGGTTTTACGAACGAAGCTTTGTAAAAATACGCGCTTGCTACTCACGCTCTTGACAAGTCACCCCTGCATTGTCCCAAGTACCATCCGTTGTGCATGTTCCCTCTGCTGGCCCCGTCACCTCGTAGCCTACATCACACACCAGCTGGCGGCGTGAGAGAACAGTGTTGCCATGGTAAGTCATGTTGCCTTTCTCTGGAGAGGCAGTCACCGGGCATGTTACTACAACAATAATACTATTTTTAATAGCACATGTATGACAACTATACTGTCATCAACCAAAAGTTATAAAGCATAACATTGTTTTTGTTCCATACGAATTCAGAAAACTGTGATTATATTATGCTCAATGGTAGTTTGTGTAAACATATTTCTATTATGATGGATAGAAGTTCTCAGATTACCTTGCCTATCATCAGGGATAACATCATTCGGGATCGCGGTGACTTTTACATATTATTTATGTCGTTGGCTCTATAACGAATCTCTTCCATTTAACGCCACAATGAACAGTATTTCTGTTACATCACGGGTTGTAAAATGAGATGAAGTCTTTTTAGTACGGTGTTTACATACAAAGACTAATATTCATAATATGAGATTCGATCCAACGATCATAGCATCCTTGCACGACTAAGGGAAGCAACTCTTCGCAGCGCCGTACACGACTGGGCAAACCAATATTTAATTATGGCTGTGGTTGGTATGATACGGCCAGGGATCGAACCATCGACCTTCCGCTCTCCTGGCAGGTGCCCTTTCCAGCATACCACGGAGGCGGTTCTGTTGATCAGGAAACACCACGCATACGTGGTCGCGTCACCAATGGATGGTCTACTCACATATGTCCAGACAGATGTAGGAGGTGCCAATCGGGATGCACTGAGCATTGTTTAGGCAGGGGTTGCCGTCACACGGTCCGTGAACAGCTGTTCCTAACTACAACAGAGGGAATTATATTGTAAACGATTACCTAGAATTTGTGTTTTAACGAAATTATAGACTAAATCCATTTTTTGTCTTCCTTTGCACTTAACGTATATTCCGATTTCAATTATATGTTGTCCCATTAGATTGTTTTAAAAAATATTCTAGTTCTAGGTACGTTTGTGAATAAGTAGGTGAGTGGGTGAGTGAGTTAGGTTTAACGCCGCTTTTAACAGTGTTCCAGTTATATTTCGGCGTGTCAGCTTAATGTGGGAGGAAAGCCCGAAATGATGCAGGTCTCAGACGTTTACCACTTCGGTGGAACCCACGAGCACGGGTATGGTGCTGACAAACCTAGAAACATAATCGGGGCGAACCGGGATTCGAATCCACAATCATAGGTTTCTGGCGTTCCCAAGGGATGCAACTCTGCACAGGGAATTGCGTCGCCTTAGACGACTGGGCCACCCGTGCCCCCATGTGAATAAGCGAGCTCGGTTTGACGCCACCTCGAACTGTATATCAGGTATAGCGCGACGTGTAAAGGAAAAGTCCAAATAATGAGGTCTCGTAATTACCGCATGCTGATTTTTTTTTTCAAAATTCGGGCCACATTCGGGAGGGAATTTCAAATTGACCAAGCTTTGTAAGAATGCCGTTCGAATACTTAGAATGCGCTTCGAACCCGCCTCGAATGATTCTTGCACATTCATAATGCAGCTCGAATGTAGTTGGAACACAGTAGGAATATTTAGAATGCAGTCAGAATATTTAGAATGCATTCAGAATGCAGTCAGAAGTTTGAGAATGCACTTCGAATATCCAGGAATAAACAAAGAATTTTCATTCCGACGGCATTCCGGCTCATTCTGCCTCTAGTGTGACTAGGGTTTTACCGCTTAAGTGAAACCCGTGAGCACGAGCATGGACAAAAACAAGAATCGTCATTAAGGCGAACCTGACACTCGAACCTACGATAATAAGATTCTGTCGAGCAAGGAGAAAAACGAGAATCGTCATTAAGGCGAACCTGACACTCGAACCCACGATAAAAGGATTCTGTCGAGCATGGACAAAAATAAGAATCGTCATTAAGGCGAACCTAAAACTCGAACCCACGATAATAGGATTATGTCGAGCATGGACAAAAACAAGAATCGTTATGAAGGCGAACTTGACACTCGAACCAACGATAACTGGATTCTGTCGAGTATGGACAAAAACAAGAATCGTCATTAAGGCGAACCTGACACTCGAACCCACTATACTAGGATTCTGTCGAGTCCACAGGGCGCAAACCTCTATAACACATTCGACGAATACGACCTAATCGTAATCAATCAATATCCCTCACTTAGTTCAATGGTCAGGTTCGTTGACTTGGTGTAAGCATGTCATCGATCTAAAATTGTGTGGATCGATGCTCATGATATCAATCACTGGATGTCAGGTCCAGACTCGATTATTTACAGACCGCCGTCATATAGCAGGAATATTGCGGAGTGCGGCGTAAAGCAACAAACAAACCAAACCAAACCAATTAGTTCAACAATTTTTAACTTAACCTACCTTACAAATACTATCAAAGATCTTTCTCTGAGGTTCCTGTTGTTCTCCTCGCTCAGCGTGTAAGGCGCAGTCCCTTCTTGAGACATCATAGGTCACGGAGTTGCATTTGGGGATATATTTACATACATGCATACACTGAAGCAGGTTGTTTGTCTTGATAGCTTGGTGCAGAGGTTGAGCGGGGGATACTGCGGACCAGGAGACTGTATCGCAAAGTGATGCTGTAGCCGCTTCACAGTACAACCACAGCAATAACAGTACGAAGAATGCATAAACCCCCGCCATCTGATTGTTAGTAGCGATGTTGGCTGGGCCTCTCTCTCTCTCTCTCTTATGTATCTGAAATGATAAATGTTAATAATTCTAACAACATTTTAATTTATAATCGAAAAGAATTAATTGTAACATGCACACTAGATTTTCAAATATATTTGCAAAAGAGAGCAGCTTGTCTTAAGACAAACAGCAAATATATTATTATGATGAAAAAACATCGTAAGCATTCGCTTCCATTTGCTCATTGACAAAACGGTTGGTTGGTTGGTTTGTTGTTTAACGCCGCACTCAGCAATATTCCAGCTATATGACGGCGGTCTGTTAATAATCGAGTCTGGACCAGACAATCACGTGATTAATATCATGAGCATCGTTCCATGCAATTGGGATCGATGACATGCATCAACCAAGTTAGCGAGCCTGACCCAAGATCCCGTTAGTCGCCTTTTACGACAAACATAGTCACCTTTTACGGCAAGCATGGGTTGCTGAAGACCTATTCCATCCCGGATCCACGTAAGAAAATGTTAATTATATAACCATATATTCAGTTGACTGATGTCTAATATTATTTATGCTTAAAACACGTTCAAATAGTGGTTTTATTATAGCTATACATTGCAGTTCAATCATTTTCTCTTTGTATTCGTAATTATCATGACATGTACATGCATATTTTCCTCTTTTGATTTTAGCCATGACGTAATCAAGAAATAATGAAAACATAACTGCTGATTCTCACGCTTATCATTTTCAACTTGCATTTTGAAATCCAGATATCAGTCAGTAGGCATTGGCCAAACTGATATAGTCGATATTGGTTTCATTACCTTGTGTGAATATTAACCTTTTAATAATTGAACATATTTTGACATGGCTGAGTACAGAAACTCGATTGTCTATTGTGTAAACACAAGACAGAATGATGTTTATGTTGATGTGATGGCTATGATATTTTATTCATGTTTAGCATCATGATATTTCTGTTCATGTTATTAATTTGAGGAGGAAATTGTTTTAACAGTTTCATTATAATAATTAATGAGGGATACCAACAGTCCGTATGAATCCCATCCTTAATGTGTTTGTGTTGTTATTGACATATCTATGTAAAGCAAATCAACTCATTAGTTAACGGACGCCATAGTACCATGAAATGTCATCCTCGTGAAGGTCACTCCAAGACACAATGCTTGAGTCTGTGAAATCGAAAAGGCACTGAGTGAACTGAATCAATTTTGCCATAATAATTAAGCGCTGAAACATTAGCAAATGAGAGCGACTGTCAACGAACTGTTTTTGCAAGTAGCATGCATGAAGTATAAGTCCATGTATTATCAAAAGGAGTATTGCTATGGTAGTAGACGCTGGCCTGGGACACGCATTCGTAATATCCTGCCCATTGACTATGTGTGTTGTCGTGTTTGGTTACTTGAGGAAATTCCTTACCATTGCATAACTTCAATCAAAATCACCAACCGGCGACACAAGAGCGGTTTACAGTTACCGCTGGAGCATTTGTGAAACATAAGTTTACAGACATTATTCTTTAAAGATAGCGCCAATACATCCACTATTTAATGAGGAGCTAGGGTTTTGTAAAAGACAACTCATTTGACGATTGAAAAGGTGACAGAATTGTATGGCATTTGGTATAGTTGAACAGATAATAAAAATCAGCAACGTCTCCAATTTTTATTGTCAAAGTGGACTGTAGCTATTTGTTAATTCTCTATTTGATTAATTTTATTTCAACTTCCAACTGGAAGGGCAATAAATAATAAGAAGTCCGGTCTTGAGATTTGTATTTTCTTTTTAACGCCGCAATATCCAACTATGTCAGGGCTGCCTGTAAAAAATCGAATCTGGACCAGACAAACCAGTATCTGATAGTATGTGCGTCGTCCCACGTTGGTATTTGTTGTTACCCTGCCTGGCGCTCGGGACCAGTGTATAAAACGGGCAATGGCTGCCCGACGTCAGTATAATGAATCTGATTATTACACTCTTGGTAATTACGGCAAATGTGAGAAGTACTCTTTTTTGTCCTAAGTGCGTCATTCGAATTGGGCAGTCGGTAGCACTGTGTACTCGAAATCAGTATAATATGTCTTAGTGAGGTATCCATGTTAAACTGAGTGGGGTATCCGTGTTAGACTGTTGTTATCAATTCACATTTTTTACATATAGAGCTGTAGCTGTGAGGATTTGACTTGAAGACAATGATTTTCGGTTGCACCGTCCTTATAAGATGTCGCTAATATAACGCACCCCGTACACCACAATTCGAGTTGTGCAGTGAACATACAATACAAGTAGACACCCTTAAACACTTCCTCATTTGGAATATACAGTGAAAGCTAAATGGTTGGTTTGTTGTTTAACGCCGCACTCAGCAATATTACAGCTATATGACGGCGGTCTGTAAATAATCGAGTCTGGACCAGACAATCCAGTGATTGATATCATGGGCATCGATCCACGCGAGCCTGACCACCCGATTCCGTTAGTCGCCTTTTACGACAAGCATACCCCGGAATCTTTACAGGTCTGAATGATAAATGAGCTAATCCATAATAACCAGTGTTGTTTGGGAGTTTTTGGAGATCCATATGTTTTATTCACGATTATCAGACGCTGAGAATGAAGAATATTTTACAAGATCGATGACATCCCCGTAGCTTTTGCGTTGTCTAGATACCAATGTCGTAAGGACCTAGATGAAGGAAAATATCTAGCGGAACATAATCGGGGTTTCCTGACTAATGGCAACGTGGCAATCAGTTCCAGCGACGCGTTGCAGCCGGGGATCGACCCAAACTTCCGATCAATAATCCGCTTAAGAATAATACACTAACGCTCGAAAACAGAATACAATATGTGAAGCGCATCGTCTTTTTTAGACGGCAGGAAACGTGTGATGTGCATGTACACTTCAAATGTACCTTTGAAGAAGTTACTGTTTTCTCCGAATCTACCAGCGGCAAAGGTTGTTGTGGTGCTGTTTCCTTATTTATTACTTTAAATGGATACTAGTAGGTGAGCGAGTGAAACTTGTCCTATAGGCATTCAGCACACTGCTTTATGACCTTTTCATTTCCGAAATTTACGCCAGGTGATCGCTGTTTATAAACAAAGCCTAAAATCGATCAGTGTCGAAAACTGACACACTGAATGTTATCTTTGAAGCAACGAATGACGTGACTTGCCGTTGCACGTGTTTGTGACGAGTGCCACCGTTGGGGCAGGATACGCGAATCTTTTCGCGAACACCTGGTATCATCACTTTTTGATAGTAGTCCATAAGCACGTGAGTTCATATAGTCGGAATCGTACAATCATTATGGATTCTGCTTTTCGCTGCGTCTATGGCTATGGCGACGTAAATTGGGAACTCTAATCAACAAAAATGAAATATGTTTTGTCTTGGAATTAATAAGGAAATGTACATGTAGGCATCTTTGCGAGGTTACATTGGTAATTGTGACGAGGCTTTGGTAAGCCATTTGGTTGGTATTCTGCGATTTTCGTTTACACTATCTTGACCTTAACACAAACTGATGATTTCACCTGAACATTGCTTATCCGCTAACGTGTGTTTATTGGCCTATAAACGGAAAGTCTTATGAAAACAATGACTTAAATTAGTGTTGTCTACCTCTTATGTAAGACATTCTCAAATTTAATGAACTAGTATGATCCTCAGACACTCACTCACGCACGCACGCACGCACGCATGCACGCACGCACGCACGCGCATGTTCATGCACGTCGCTATCTAAGTGCATTATCTTAAAACCCCATTTAACCTCACCGAAGAATATGATTACACTCACATGTTTCCTCATCTCAACTACGAATGTACATAGTACAAAGGACTCATTAAAGGACCTGGATTGGTTGAACGTAATAAATCTCTGTGGTTTTCTCTCACTTAGATACTTTCAAATAAGTTCAGTAAGTTAGGACCCAAGTCGTGATACCCTGCTGCAAAACCTCATTCTCAACTTGCTCTGCTAATCCTAGACTGCACGATTCCTGCTTTAGAATCGACCAAGTAGTGACATTTCGGGAGTGGTATCAAACCTAACGAGGCACACATAAAACTACATGTACCCCGAGTGATACTGCTACAAAGAATTTATCTTACCGACATGTTTTGATATGACATTGTAAACAAATAAAGATATTCAAAATTGATAGAAAACAGCTGTTCGATTGAGCTGAGGTTAACTTATGCTATGTCAGATGACATTCATTGGGTTTTTTTGCTTCAAAGTGGGGTATAAAGGATTTATTCTGCCTCTCAGAAATCAATGCGCAGCTTGTCTTGTTCGTGGCGGGGTATAAGTGATGTATTTTCCCGCTTAGAAATTTATTTCCCTCCATGGTGGGATACATAGTATTTTATTAAGATCACGTGGACCAATCATATCACATCGTTCTGACATGGAGGTATGATGAAATATTTTGTCAAGATCACGTGGACCAATCAGATCTCATCATTCTGACATGGAGGTATGATGAAATATTTTGTCAAGATCACGTGGACCAATCAGATCTCATCATTCTGACATGGAGGTATGATAAAGATGGTTTATCAGTTCCATGCGCAAACCGGAGTTGGCAGTAAGTAGCCTTGTTCTAATGTTGCTCGTCAGGATGAAGACGACAATGGCACAATGTGTAAAGCGTATGATTGGTGTCCCCAAGCTGGAATATATCCGAAAGAGGAAGAAAACACAAGTCACTCATTTAAATCTTAAACATGTCAAGGTATAAGATGACACGAAACTAACTAGGTGATATAACTACCTATTGTGAGGCTAACATTAAACTTGGAATCTTGGTCATTCTCCAATCACCATTTTAAATGCACCATGTATTTCGTAAAATCAATATTTGAGCATTCTGGAGAATAATAATATTTATTCCGATTTTAACTGATCAAATGTGTCTTTCTTCAACGTGTCCGGGCAAATATTATATTTAGCTGTTGACAGATATATATAGGAGGAAAAAGGTAAAACAATACCAAAAAAGTGACCCCTACACGACATATTCAACACTAAATAGAAGACTTTCTTTGACTGACCGGTGGGTAGCATAAGCTCACCTTTTTACGAACACCTGGTATAATCACTATTTGATAATGATTCATAAACACATGCTCATGACATAGTTCGAATCGTACAGTGGACATACGTCTGTCGGCAACTCGGCAAGACTTCCACGAGTGGCGGAAGTTGTGTTTCTGTTTCACGTGTATTTTACAGCGACCATGCCAAATTAGGGTCTAAATATTTACGCCCTCACAGTTGGCAAACACTGATCTCAAAAACGGAACTCCTTCCACATGTACAGGAGTCCATCATTAAGCCACATTTCTTGCAATCTGTAATTGGTCCAACACTTATAACACAAACAAAACCATTTCCATATTCATGAAAAATCTCTGTCAAAAACGGGGGCACGGGTGGCCCAGTCGTCTAAGGCGCCGCAAAACGCTGTGCAGAGTTGCGTCCCTTGGGCACGCCAGAAACCTATGATTGTGGGTTCGAATCCCGGTTCGCCCCGATTATGTTTCTAGGTTTGCCAGCACCATACCCGTGCTCGTGGGTTTCACCGAAGTGGTAAACGTCTGAGACCTGCATCACCTCGGGCTTTCCTCCCACATTAAGCTGACATGCCGCGATATAACTGGAATACTCACTCACTCTGTCAAAAACAGCTTGTACGATTCCGGCTTTATGATGAGCATGTGGTCATGAATCACTTTCAAATAGTGATGATACCAGGTGTTGGCGGAAAGGTGAGCGTATCCCCCCCCCCCCCCCCCCCCCCCCCGCTGGCATCCGCCATAAAACAAAACAAGGCAGTTGGTACAAGGCGAGCGAAGACCTTTGACCTTCATTATACCGCACAACAGGGGCACTAGTGGCCCAGTCGTCTGATGCGCCACAATTCGCTGAGCCGTTACTCGTGCCAGAAACGCATGATCGTTGTTTCGAATCCCGGTTCGCCCTGATTAGGTTAATAGCTTCGTCAACACCATACCCATGTTCGTGGGGTGTCACCAAACCCCACGGTAAACGTCTAAGACCTGCATTAAGTCTGGCTTGGCCTCTCACAAGTAGCCGTCTCATCATGGTGTGACTGAACGTCCTCTAAAAGTGACGTTAAACCCAACTCACTCACATATTCGACCATGACGCTGTGATTATGAGCGAGAAAATGTTGTTTCACACTTATTAACAGCGTTTCATTATGACGACACAGTAAATGTTCGTGTCTGGACCAGGCAAACAAGTGGTTGATAGCATGAGTAACTTTCCATACAGTAGAGGCAAGGTCACATCCTTCATTTCATTTTTAAAAAGTACAAGCCCCCGGTAAAAGAACATGAGTGTCAAGTTCAATATTAGATCAAATTGTTGACAATGTGCTTTCGAAACGGTTAGGTTTTTCATATAATGTATGGAAGGTGGCGTAAAAACAGATAAAGGGATCTAAGCACTCCCGGTATTAAGCGTTGTTCTGGAGTAAGACGCATAAATATTTTCGTTATTTTAGTTAACGTTTGGTCTCCAAAACTGAACTGGCGAGTGCTACCGGTAGGGCAGGGAATGACTACCCTAGCGAACACCTGGTGTCATCACTGATTTTCAGTTGTCCTTTCATATAAATTCCACAGCTATTTGCCCTTTACGCCAAGTGGAATCTTTTTCGGCAGATCTAGGCTTGTAATTATCTTGCATTGACAATTCATGCTTAAGCATTCTAACTAAACTTCAACCGGAAACCATCGTAATACTAAGTTATTTTCTGTAGTGTATGATTATTAAAATATGGCACTTACCGCGATGTGTGAAGCACCAAACTTCAAGAACAGAGAATCGCTGCTACCCGCAGGACGTAAGTTTGCATTATTCTTCCCAAGCCTTCCCTGTGCTTCACGCTTCATGATATCATTGATTTTCTCCGTACATTAAAATGCTCTACCTTGTAACATAATAAATATCAGATCAAATACACTATTATCGCACTAATGGTAAACCCTGCTCGCATTCTATCAACATACAAGTGTTTATAATTATCCAATGCACTTGAAAACCTTGATATTGATGAAGCAATAAACAGGGTGGAGCAAATACTTTGACTTCAGTCAGGAAAGAAGTGACAAGATAATCAATCTTGTATACTAAAATTGATTATTTTCTTTGCTAGAATTTCAACAGATTGAGATTGAATAATTTTTATAGGTAAGGTGTCATTTCGTTTCTTATTTTAGTGACCGTCCCTATTGGTTGCAAGGAAAGGGTTACAGTTCTTGTAGGGGGGGGTAGAGAAGTCCAAGTCGCCGTAATTCAATTCCTAGCCCACGATCGTGGTCGTGGGTTTCATCGTTACATTAGAGTGACACGCAGCCAGTTTACTTACATTGTTCGCAAAACCATAAACACTAAAGGGGACCTCTACATGTTATTTTGCTGTTACCAATCACGTACTCAAATCAAAAGTAAATGTAACAGTGAAAATATTTGGACTAAGGACAGTTAATAATGCAGATGATTATACATGCATTACTGTCGCTGTTTATAACAACAAACCACTTTCCCAAGACAGACCTGGGCACCGATGACGTTTACTGCGCAAACAATTTTAAAATATAAACAGCCGTGAGAAAATGTTCAGTCTTATTGAACCCCTGTAAACATTAAATATTCAAAGGAAAGGAGAATGGTCTTGAGTGATAGGATAATTTAGATCAAGACCTGTTTCATTTGCCCCTGTACATAAATAGTTATTGATCGACGTATCTAAGAATGTCAATGCCCTTGGCCCCATGACAAGACATGGGGATCGTTTGCAAGATACAAATCAGTTGTAGACATTGATTACGCTTCATCATGTGAATGGATGTACTGAAACGAATCAACACCTCTAGTAACTAGATCTTGGCATCGAAAATGTACCCCTTTCTAAACGAGGGTTGCGTTCCTCTGGCGCGCAAGGATTCGATGGTTATAAGGGTCGAATACACGATTCACCACCATACGAACATTTTGGGTTTTCTTCACCATACCCGCGCTCTTAGGTTTCACCAATGTGGAAAACATCTGAAACATGCGCCATTGTGCGCCTATCTTTCCTGTAAGAATACCCTTGGAAATAGTGGACAAGCGAGACATAAACATCTTTTTGTGAGGAATGTTTAAGAAATTACTATGGTTATAGTTATAGCAATGTGCGCATGCGCAGTTGGTACAAGCACGCCGTATTTCCTCTATTAAACGCTTGGGCGTCTATTAATTTCGCGCAAGACGTTGAACGGCGTCTTTTATAGGCCGGCGTCTATTACAGTTCCGGCGTCTTGTCGGTTTAATGCCGGTACAGACACGGTGACCGCTCACTACCTTACCAAACACAAAAGGTACATTTGCACGAAACGGTCATTATTAATCTCCAACATATCACTGTGACAGTATTCTATTATCTGGACAGATCGTATGGCCCGGCGTCAATTAGAGGGCAGCCGTGTATTGGATGAAATACGGTACATGTATACACACTATTATAAAATATGATGCAACATTTTCTCAAAATGTTATTCGTTTCTATTTCACTGGAACTGAAAAATAAGTACACAAATAAGTAGTTAATGACATGACACTCCTGGATCAGAGGGGTGGTCGGGTAGCCTAGTGGTTAAAGAGTTTGCTCGTCACGCCGAAGACCCGGGTTCGATTCCCGACACGGGTACAATGTGTGAAGCCCATTTCTAGTAGGATCAGTGAGTGAGTTGGGTGTAACGCCGCTTTGAACAGTATTTCCGTTATATCAAAGAATGGCTGCTTAATGTTGAGGGGAGATACAGATCTTAGACGTTTACCAACACGAGTTGGTGCTGACAAACATAGAAACCTAATTAGATCAACCTAATCATTGGATTCGAACACACTATCACAGGTTTCTGCCACGCCTTAAGTGAGTGAGTGAGTGAGTTGGGTTTAACGCCGCTTTTAACAGTAGTCCAGTTATATCACGGCGTGTCAGCTTAATGATGGAGGAAAGCCCGAAGTGATGCAGGTCTTAGAAGTTTACCACTTCGGTGAAAACCAAGGGTATGGTGCTGACAAACCTAGAAACATAATCGGGGCGAACCGGGATTCGAACCCACAATCATAGGTTTCTTGCGTGTCCAAGGGACGCAACTCTGCAAAGAGAATCGCGGCGCCTTAGACGACTGGGCCACCCGTGCCACCATCACGCCTTGCGCACGGCGACTTGCGGCGCCTAAGACGAATAGACAGACTATCCATGCGCCCGACTAAATTATGAATGATGACATGGAATTCCATCCTCAGCTGAGATATCTTCGCATTCTTTTACAATAAATAAATAATGAACCATCCATACATGTTGAGGAAACTGTGCACGGAGAAAATATATTCTGGATTGAAATACAACACAGCAAGAACAAAATGATGCAGACACTGTAGCAGCTGAATGATCGGACCATAAGAAAATGTCAACGGGACCTGAACAACATCTGTTACGATGACGTCAGAAGATCAAAATGGAGTAGGGGGTCAAACGACAAAGTCACAAAGTCAATAACGGGTATGACCACCCTGTGCGTGAATCACAGCAGTGCATCGGCGACGCATTGAATCCACCAAATGGGCATGGAAGGCCTGGGGAATGGCCTGCCATATCCTCCTCAAATCCTGTGCCAAGTCACGGACGTTATCTGGAGGATGTGGAAGACGACGCAGACTGCGCTCCATTTCACCCCACACATGCTCTATTGTGGAGAGATCTGGAGAAATTGCAGGCCATGGCAGTAACATGACATTGTTATGGTGAAGGAAATCCATTGCGACCCTAGCCGTGTGAGGACGAGCGTTGTCCTGTTGAAATGTCAATCCCGGGCCATGAAGTTGCAGGAAAGGAATGACCACAGGCCTCAGAATCTGATCTCTGTAGCCAACACCGGTGAGATTGCCCTGAACAACCACCAAAGGGGTTCGGTGCCGTGCTGTTATCACACAGCCACCTCCAAAACGATTCCTCTCCTAAATACAGTTGCGTGCATAACGTACTCCCAAACGCCGGTAGACACGTTGGCGCCCGTCACTGTGGGAAATGTTGAACCTCGATTCATCCGTAAAGACAACATTTATCCACCATATTCGAGGTTAGCGAACATGATTTCGACCCCATCTTAGACGGTTGACTCGATGACGGTGTGTCAGGATGGGACGTATGGCAGGGCGTCGTGGTCGAATCCCGTACTGACGTAAACGATTCCTGACAGTGTTGGGATGGATACGGCGCAGTCCAGGAATTGTCTGGGACGTCGTTACTGCCGTTTGGAACCTGTGTCGGAGATGTGTAACTCGAATCCATCTGTCCTGTCTTGGCGTCGTTACTCGGGGACGTCCTGAACGTGGGTTGCCGGCAACGTCATTTGTGTTCTGATAACGCCTCACCAATGCCGATATCGTGTTACGATGGCATTGGAAATGTGTTGCCACCAGTTGTTGCCTCATTCCCGCTCGGATCATTCCAATGGCTTCATGACGCTGTGCAGCTGTCAATCTTGGCACGATTTGCTTGTGATATGCTAGTGTCTGCGCCTGAGAAGTTTTGAATTTTTGAATGACCACAGATCATGCTTTCCAAAGTGACAGCGAATTTTGAGTTGCACATGCTGTGTACAGCTGCACAGGATGCACGTGCAGTAACACATTGCACGTCCATAGGCCCCCATCAATGACGTCATATCGCATGACACCTGCATGAGCGTTTGAATGTCTCCAATAATTGCTGTGTTCAAACCTATCTTTCATATATGGACGGTGTGCCCTTATATCTATATTTTCTCCGTGCACAGTTTCTTTATGTGGCAAGTATACTATATTGAATCTGACTAGCCATACAATTTCATTCCACCTAACGATTAAGGTATGTATTTCTAAAATTTCATTTTTTTAACAATTGACTTACCTTTGCGTGTGTTTGTAACGGGTGCCAACGGTGGGGCAGAACATGTTCATCCTTTCGCGAACACCTGGTATGAACAGTGAACACTTTTTGACAGGGATTTATAAACACATGCTCATGAAGAAGTCGGAATCGTACAATAACCAAAAAAATACCCGGGAAGATATAGTACAAGTCAAGAAAGGGAATTGCATCCTACGTCGTTTTTGAAACATGCGTCAAATTTGGAAATGTTCTCCACATAAAACGTTTTGAACGCTTTGCTGAGGTCACATATGTTGATACATTGTGTGTAGTTAAGAGGCGACTTACGGGATCAGGTGGTTGGGTGCGCTGACTTGGTTAAAGAATGTCATCGATTCCAATTGCGTGGATCGATGCTCATGATATCAATCACTGGATTGTCTGGTCCAGACTCGATTATTTACAGACCGCCGTCATATAGCTGGAATATTGCTGAGTACGGAGTTAATCAACAAATAAACAAACAAACATAACACACTTACTGAAACAACAAACCAACTAACCAACATCGCCCAAACGCATCGTTTTGTACTTTTTTCACATTTAAAACGGATATTTCGAAATTGTCACGAATTAAGGGTCGAATAAAATCTGCATGCACTACTTCGCACGTGGTTTTCTGGGAAATGACGTGTAGTTGTGTTGGGTATAAAAGGATGGTATTCTTTCGGTAAACTGTCTACTGTTGCTTGCCAACGATATGGATCTGCAAGTGATCGCCCACGATCTGGCAGACCAGGGATCACAAGTGCAGCTCAGGACAGGCTCATCCGGGTCTTCCATCTACGTCATCGGAATGTTACAGCGACTAACTGGTCTGCGTAGGGTGTCGTTGGGTGTCGGCGCAATATGTAATCGTCTTCGTGAGCTTGGACTTCGAGCCCGAAGTAGTATTGCGGTGCTATCCGACATCAGCAACGGAC